CCCCTTCCCGCCCTTCGCCCGCCCCGGGAACACCCTTTCCCCGGCGCGGGGTGGGCACGCGGCCGGGGGCGTGTGTCCTTTTCCCGGACACGCCGCGCCAGCCGGGCCCGCCGCGGGAGCTGCCCGTTCGTCCTGCCCGCCCGACCCGCAGCGGGCCTGGGGGAAACGCCCGGCAGGGCTCAGGTCCCGGGAGCAGGCGGGCTCTAAATTCCTCCCACAGCCCTCAAGCGTCCGAGTGTGAAAGGGTAGGCTTTAAACTAGCACCCTCATGTCCTCTTCAAAATATTAATGGTATTTCGTGCTGCTTAATTATTTGAATTACTATGAAGGTAGGCAGGACAAGAGCGCTGTCAGCCACACTAAGACCTAGAGCAGACTTGCACCTACGTGAAATTCCAAAATGCACAAGCTCCTTTGAATGCAAGAGCAGCCTGGCTTGATAACCAAGAGCCAAGCCCAGACCTCCTTCTGCCTAGCCTCGATTCCTTCTGTGATTGAAGCAAAGCACATTGAACACTTACAGGTTTTTTTTGAGGAGGAAGGCAGCAGTAATTTCCTAACCTCTGAAGTACCCTAAACAATCACAGAGGTTAGTGGTAGTAATAAGTAAGCATATATATCCTATGAATCCAAAATTAATAGCACTCAAAAAATTTGTCTACAAAGTCATAGCATATAATTTCTATAGATTTTACTTCAAAGTACTGTTTAAATTAGGGTACCAGAATTTTATCAAAAGAGGAGTAGGATATACACAATCTCTAGGGATAGATATCTCCACATCTGTGGTTTCACACTGTCATAATACCATACATGGAAGATGCATCAACTGTGAATTTTTGGAATATTCAAACACAGCAAACAAAGATTGGATGTGAAGAAGCAAAAGATACCGACAAAAGAACACAGTGTGTGTTCTGCATGCAGAAGAAGAAAGTGAATCCTTAAATGTTCAGGAGAGAAAAACAAGCAAGCAAGCACATGACACCACAGACCTAAGTGCATATAAACGCATACCAGCACGTGGAATTTTTGAACTTCAGTTCTTGAACCCATTCTGTTCTGGTGATCTGATACTAAGTGTTAGCTGACAAGTGTTAACATTGTTATTTGCCATAGTGGACATATAAAAAAAGAAAATCTGAATAACTAATAACATTCTAATAAAAGATTACAGTGGAAGTGATTGTTACCAGAACTGGTGGCTGATGGGCAAAACCAATAATTTAAAAGGTGTGGCTTGGTTGGCAGTTAAGCTGCAAAATCATGCAATCTTCCTTTATGCAGCTTCCTCAAAAGCTGTTGCTATTTTCTGCAACACACACAGACATTTAATAAGAATGTAGTGCAGTTCATCTCTTTAGCCTGATCCCTGAATATAAGAGAGGGGTTTTTCCCCTTCCTGATGTTGCAGCTCATATATTTTCAAATCCATTCCTTCTTCTAATTGAGGATTATCAGGAAAAAAAAATAAAATCTGAAATAACTGAGGTTTAGAATGCAGGTAATAAAGCACATCCAGCCCTGCTAAAAAGAACCTCTTGTAATATAGTATCAGCCATCAAACATTAAGGATTTTACTTTGCTCCTGAATAACAAATAGCTCTTACTTGCAAAAAAACGTATAAATCTTATTGAAGCTAGGCATAGTATTAAGAGTATTTCATTTCTATCCATTATCAGTTTAAATCAGAACGAACAGTTTGTCTACATACTAACACAAAGCAGCTTTAAAGTCACTTCTGCAAATCTAATAACCAGATTTGGATATAGTCATCTACATAACCCACTTTTTAATATATTTTCGTAGTTACTCAAGTATAGTGCTGAATTTTTCAGGCCTCTATAGCAGATTCCTAAATAAAAAAATAGTCACCTTTAAAACAAATTTATTTCAGAAACCTCATTTATATATTAGCCCTAACTTTTTTTTAGTAAAAAGTATTTAAGTATGAAAATAAAAAAAAAATCGTTTAAAATATAGCTTTTTAATAAAATCCAACAAGCTTTAAACAGACCTTTCACGTATTTTCATTAAGGTTTTTCCATAAGGCACATGTATAGACATTTCAAAGGAGCAGTTATTTTTAACTTACCAACTCTTTACAACATTTATAAAACTCTGTCTTTGGAAAAGCATACAATGAATCATATACAAACATAAATGGCACATTGCGAATTTTAGACATAAATGTAAATAAAATCTTTACTACCCAGATCTTAGCGGCTTGCCTGCACTGGGGAATAAACTGTGTTACTGGATGCAAGGTAGTTCTAAGACTACTCTCCACAGGGTATTTACATGTAATTTTATTGTTTAAAAAAGACTAAAAGTTCCAAGGTAAACAAAAACAGTTCAACCAATGTATTTTTAAAACTGTTTCTAGTAAAAATTATTTAATTCCCCAAATGCAATAGGCAAGGAAAATACTAAATTGTTACTGGGTATTTAATGAGTGGAAAAGTATAGTTTTCCAAGCAAAATTCACAGAAGAATAAAGTTGACTTTCAAAGCATACAGCGGTTCCTGGTTTTAATTTACCCTAGACAAGATGAGAAGCATTTAATCACAGCATCCCTTTGAAAAGAAAAAAAAATAGTTAAGGTATTTGCAGATTTCTTTATATGCATATCAACTACTATGTATTTAAAATTAAAACTATTACAAAACAAAAGACAAAAATTGATAATTTATCAAGTGCAGGATCTTAACAGCTGTGGTTATGCTGAGTACACCCACAGCACCAGCCAAAGCAAAGGCTCAGGCCCACTCTGAAGCTCAGGGCTGCCCATACTATCTAAGCCTTCCACACAGTTTACACTCCAGCACCTGCTAAAAATGCAGATGCAGCGTTCAGAATTGTTCCGCAGCACACGTGGTGCCTCAGCAAAGGTCACAGCCTGATTTTGCTGAGGCCGGCCAGCAAGGGCAGGGCTGAGGAGCATCCCAAATCCATACAAGCAGCAAAGCACGGGTGCTTTGAGCCCAAAACTCATTTGAGTTGGCCCATCGTGTTGCAGGAAAAGAAAAAGCCCAGGCTGAAGGGTTCAAAGTGCATGCACCAACACTGCAGGATGAGGAGCTGGCTCAGCCTTAAGGTCTGAAAGATCTCAAGGGGTCTCCATCTTTATCCAACAACAAAAAAACCTGTTTTCTGACTATTCTACTTAGACCACTCACTTTAGTCCCCTTTATTTTTCATTTTCTCAAAAACTACAACTTACTAGGGAGTGGAATGCGTATTCTGTTGTTAGCCAATTTGAAAAATGAAGGAAAGTACTACCATGACTCGCAGTCACTGTATGTATGCATTTTGGTTTTGGTTTGGCTTGGTGTGGTTTTTTGTGGTTTTGCTTGTTTTGTTTTGTTTAGGCCTTTTTTCCCCACACCAGCAGGAGAGCCACCATTAATTGGAAAAAAAAAAACAAACCAAAAAACCCCCCAAAAAACCCAAAAACAACAAACTGAAAAAACCACACCAAAGCCAAGAACCACAAACTCCATGAACAAGTAAATTGTCGTTAAGAATAAACCATTAAGATTTAAATCAATTAATGATAATTTTGTTGAAATAAAAATAAATGCAAACTTTAAATTACATAACACTGTTTTCTGGCACTTAACATGGTTTAATATCACTGCTTCTGTAAGAAAGGCAGCCTACACAAGAAATTTATAATAGCATTCCACATAAGCAAATAATTCAATAGTCCTTAAAGAAATCACTGTACTACTAAAAGCAGCCTGTGTAAAATTCAGCTCCTTGGCTCATAAAATCTAGTAGACAAAGAAAACCAAATAAAATTAAGTGATGCATATAACCTAATGTTTTTCTGATCAGAACTTGAAGTCCTGTTGGTAGGGAAGAAAAGACCAGTGACCAGTAGCTCAGCCTGCTTTCTGTGCAGAACAGAACATTAAAAAAAGAACAAAAAAAGAATGACCCTCCTGAGACTGTCACGAGGCCACAGGAACTGTAAGAATTCAGAATACTACTTTTGACTGGGTTAGCTTGAAATATTAGAAATAGTAAGATGATAATCTGAAGCTTGAGTTCAGTTGAAGTACTTAATCCAATATAATTCTAAACTACTATATTTCAAAAGAAAACATATACAGCTTAATCCTCCCTAGATCAAATTGGAAGTTTTAAGAAAAGAGAAAACCATAGTACAGCGCTTTAGGCAAAGTTACAGAAACACCACAGGAAGTTACCAGATGAAAGAGACAGACAATACTTTGTACTCTTTTTACCTCCCTTTCACTACAGAAAACCTCATCAAGTAATATACAGACATGGAAACACTATTTTCTTATAAAACCCACACTGCTGAAAGACCAAGCTGCATTTTACATGAAACATTACAGAAAAAAGAAGATTCTTGACTTTGTTTACTTGCATGTGGTTTCACTATGTGTTTGGCTAGCTTTTGTTCTCTTTTTGTACACACGAGAGTGAAAAGAGAGAAGCTTGCCAAAACAAAAATCAACACAAAGCATTGCCTTTGCTTCTCCTAAAAATAATGGAGGAATTCAGAAGCAGACTTAGCAGCTGAAACTATGCTTGGTTGTTTGCTTTTAACCAAGACCTCAGATCTGTAAGGTATCTTTGATGAAGCACTGGAAAAGCCACTATTGCATCAATGCATTTTTTAAAAACTCAATTTATTTTCAGTGATGAAAACTAGAATAAATGAGGTTTAACAAAGAGAATGACCATGCACTTGTATTTAAAGCTTGTATTAAACATTACTTTCAGCTGTGTCATTTTTAAAAAATTAAAAGGAAAGGGAGGAGGTTATAGGTTATATTTTTTCACATACTGAATTTAAGGACTCTTCCCCTTCCCTAGCGTAGAAGTAACTGACTTTTGTTAAGATGGAAGTAATTATGCAGACTCACCTTGCAAAAGGAATATATGACAGACTATACCTGAAAAAGAAGAGGAAAAAAGAATATTTGACAGTGTTCATGTCTCTCCTAGAACCAAATTATTGCACTTCAGTCCAGCATTAATAAAAGCAATCTGTTGTAACAAAACTTTAAACAAGATTACCTACTCAATTTAATGCCTACCTGAGAAGACATGCTTGGACAAGAACTAAATATACTGCAGAGGATGTATTTGTTTACTTTTTTCTTGTGTGTGGTTTTTTTTTTTTTAAATAGTTCGTAACTGCTACTGTGCATAAACTTGAAAAAGCAGATTTACTATCATCAGATTCAAAAGGAATGGAGATTTCTGGGAAAACTATTCTTCAAGATGTCAGACAACATTTTCCAGTTTAAAAGACTATACATTACTATGCAAATATACATCTATTAATATTATTTATGTAACCCTAAATACAGACATATGCTGTAGTATGAATAATACATCACAACTGTGACATTCAAACAGCTAATAATTCTATCAGTCTCTGAACCTTGCTTCTTGCAAGCCTCCAGGCTTTGTTTTGCTCTCATCCCCAGCCTGATCAAGCTCTAGGATATTTAACAAACGTGAAGCTGTCTGTGGTACACATGTAGAACAGTGCTGGAGTTAGCAGTCGTCCCTCTAGGATGTACCAAGCATTTACCTGGGCCCAGCACGATGCCTAACAGCCCCTGAACAAACAGGTTTTTGTCGTCAGACCCAAGTTCAGCAGAGACACTGTGTATTCAGGGCAAGTTCAAACACGAACTGTGGTCACCTTGAGAGTTAGTACCAAGTAATTCACCTGGGACAAGGAGACCAAGTATGTTGAATTGTATCTCCATGGAGAAAGCAGTAAATTCCAAAACTTCTGCCAGACTTGCAAGCATTCACCTAACTGTGCTCGCACACTCCCAAGCCCAGCCCTTGAGTGCATATGGATGGTCATCACAGCACCTGCTGCACTACATTTACCCTCTCACATCCACCCACTC